ATCATTTCACCTTATCTATTTTTGCTCATAACCTCTTTAGTGTTCAATACATCGCCACGAAATTTTAGGAAAAGATTCACATTCTGTTTGTTGTATGAAACAAATGCAAACGTTGCAAAGAAGGAAGGTATAAAATCATGTTACAATACTCATCTCAGCAAACTGCAACATCAAATCAACTGGATGTGTCTCAGGTCGTATTCAGACCTGATAATTTGCTCCGCTTTAAACGAACCAGAGTTTGTTTCCAGCGTTGGTCTGGACCTTTTGTGCAGGTGTGAATAATGTGAACTTTGGTGCGGATCAAACAACCGGACCGAGACCTTCTTTTTGAGGTGGTCTCGGTTCGTTTCCAAACGAACTCTGGTGCGGTTCGCTTCAGTTTGCTTCTGGTGTGAATACAGACCGGACTCTTAACCGAACCAACTGCATTAAACATGTACCTTTTTGGACTTCACAGGCCACCGTTGCGGAGCTAAATAAACTGAAAACATACCTGTTTCATCGTCTCCTGTTAGCAGCTCTGCTGCCGGCATGTAGTGGGTCAGAACACGCAGAGCACCTCGTCTCCTTTGGGTCGTGGGACACATTTACTGACGTCGCTCCAAAATTAGAATATCATCACGAAACCACCATTAAATTAGCTGCTTCTGACATTTTAAAGGCTATTGCAGTTGTACTATCAGAAAAAATGTGCGCATCAGAACCGCAGCATGCAGGATTTCCTTGTTTTCTTCTGGATCTGTGGCTCAGTCCCGCCCCCGTCCTTTTTTTGTCCAATGGGAGCAATGATCGTCAGCCTCATGGCTTTGTTTACAAGTTATAGTTYGTTTGCAAAAAAGCACAATGTGAATGCAAACTGCACCAAATGAAAAAAAAGTCAATTTTTGGTCCGGACCAAACAATTGGACCAAAGGACTTTCCTGGTCTGAATACACCCTTATAAAGCCAGGAAATGAAAACAATTTAAAAACCATGTGGACATCTTTGTAAACAAAGCTCATCGATGACAGTGTGTGAATTGTGCCAAGTGATGAAGATGCTGCTGCCATATTTACCTCAAAATGGATTAAAATAGAAAATCTTTGAACTTGGGCCAAGGACGACTAGCTACAAACGCCCCACTTCTCCAACATCGTCTTTCTTTCTTCAGGATTTTGTGCGGTCTTTGATAAAGTTTATAAAAAATGATCAGACTGATTCAAGCAACTGACAGCTTGGTAATAGTTTTCAAACTTTTGTTGTGTTTGTGCTGACAGTTAAGGGCGTTTCTCAAACCCTCCTACACTCACAGTATGGCTGACTCCCAGAATGGAGACGAGCATTTTTTTTTTTTGCGCTAAAGCTGAAGAACAAATCTGAAAACCTGAGTTAATATTAGCATGTTGCACTTTCTGTAGCTTTAAGGTCCTGTAGAGATGTCCCAGGTGCTGCTGGAGTAATTGTTATCACACACCATCGTCCAATCTAACCATCACCTCGTCAACCTGTCGGTCTGCAGATGTAAATGAGTCTGAATGGTTAAATCAGGCTCTTTATGTGCTCATGTAGTAGTCACTGATATCGTTTGCACTGTAAATCTTGAAATTAGACCAACATTTTTCATAATTTCTTAAATCATTTTTTAATTTTATACAAATATGGGAATCCCACAGCTAATAATGCCCACTTGTGTTTTTTCAATTTTATTTTTTTACTCGAACCTGTAAATCTTGAACAATAAATAAAAACAACTGATGTCTTCACTTTTCCCTCAGACATGGCTATCCGCTATCCTATGGCAGTCGGCCTTAACAAAGGTCATCCAGTCACCAAAAACGTGACGGCTCCCAAACACAGCCGTCGACGAGGGGTGAGTGCCCTGTGGTAGGAAGCAAGGTGTTTGTGGAGACTGTTTAAATTGTGTGATCTGTATTAAAACCTATGTTGTGTGTGTCCGTCCAGCGGCTGACCAAACACAGCAAGTTTGTCCGCGACATGATCCGTGAAGTGTGCGGTTTTGCTCCATACGAGAGGCGAGCCATGGAGCTGCTCAAAGTGTCCAAGGACAAGAGAGCCCTGAAGTTCATCAAGAAGAGGGTGAGTGACCCATCTTAGGCCCCTCCTCCTACCCTTTGTGGTTAAAACCTAATCAGTAGCAGCAGGCTCATGTGTTGAACTTAGCCTGAGAGTTTGATCTAATTTATTTTCCATATCAGAAGCCAATGACTTGGTAAAGGTTAATTTTCTGCCTCATAGCGTAGCTGCACCTCCCCTGCCTCCTGTCTCAGTCCAGGGTGACGAGAGAAGAAACTGACATTTAACTTCTGACACAACATAAGAGTAGGAAGTTATGTTGTTGGTTCTGAATCACAAAACACTTAAAGAGCCAAACATCCAGTCAGATCCTCACAGAAGAGAGTTACAGTTGTCCTGGACTCAGGGCCCTGTTAAGTCCTGGAATATGGTTTGGACTTAGAGAGACAACTTTAGGTAGGAGAGTTGCCCTCAGACTGATCTGTTTACCAGGCAGAGAAAAGGAAAGAAGTGTAGGACTGTTAGAGTTTATAGCTGTTTCAACAATAAGCACATGTTCTTGAACTATCTCTCTAATGACTTGTTTCTAAAGTCAATGACTTGTGTCTAAATTGACTGACTTGTCTCTTAAGTGACTGACTTGTCTTCTAAAGTGATTGACTTGTCTCTAAAGTGACTGACTTATCTCTAAAGTGACTGACTTGTCTTAAAGTGAGTGACCTGTCTCTAAAGTGACTGACTTGTCTTCTAAAGTGACTGACTTGTCTTCTAAAGTGACTGACTTGTCTTTTAAAGTGACTGACTTGTCTCTAAAGTGACTGACTTGTCTTCTAAAGTGACTGACTAGTCTCTAAAGTGACTGACTAGTCTCTAAAGTGACTGACTAGTCTTCTAAAGTGACTGACTAGTCTTCTAAAGTGACTGACTATTCTCTAAAGTGACTGACTATTCTCTAAAGTGACTGACTATTCTCTAAAGTGACTGACTATTCTCTAAAGTGACTGACTATTCTCTAAAGTGACTGACTAGTCTCTAAAGTGACTGACTAGTCTTCTAAAGTGACTGACTTGTCTCTAAAGGGATTGACTTGTCTCCTAATGCGACTGACTTGTCTCCTAAAGTGACTGACTTGTCTCTGACATGAATGTCTTGTTTTCTCAGATTGGCACTCACATTCGGGCCAAGAGGAAGAGAGAAGAGCTGAGCAACGTCCTGGCTGCCATGAGAAAGGCTGCTGCCAAGAAAGAATAAAGTTTCACAATAAATATTTGTTCAACTTCTAAACCCAGCAGTCATTCAGTTTCTTTCTACTCCACATGTAAACTGTAGCCGTACACATGTTCATACTGAAGAGTCAAGTACAGATGTTTCGGACAAATAGAGAGCAGGTGACAAAAATACGTTGGTCAATCATTGCCTCATTCTGAAAAACAAATTTATGTTTATTGTTGTTTTTATTTACTAACTGCTACTATAAAGCTGTCTAATCCGTACCAGTGTCTTCATAGGAAAGTGATATGTTCTGTTCAGAACAGTCTGGGAAGTTGAAAATGTAGGAAGCAGCTTGTTTTTTGCTGCTTTTAATGGTATGTTGAGGTCACCAGTTAAATTTAAAAACATGAACATGAGTTCCAACAGTATCAGTACCGAATACTATCACAGCTTTTAAATACTTTGATTCTTTGCAGGAAATTGCAGGTTTACAACAGCAGCAGCTGTTGCATCAACCAGAAATGAATATAAAAATATTGCTAAAACAAAAAAATATCTTTAGTATTGGAAACTGTTACCGTAGTGCATAAAAATACACAACAGTATGGGGTACATTAAGTATACGTTTATATATGGTTCATTGTAGAGCTGGATGAGGAAGGATCTATGGCAGTGGTTCCCAAACTTTTTATCTTCTGACCCACAAAATATCCATGGTAAAAACCTGTGACCCCAAATATTACTGGTCTGAGTACACGAACTCCGTTAATAACCCTAAAAACACAGGCTTTTTGACAATCTAAACAGCTTGTACACACATATACTTATTTATACTTATTTTGTGTTTTTGTAATAACTATAGGAAAAATATTACATCAGCAATTATTTTATTACCCTTTAAATTGATTTCTGGAGATTATCCAAGGCGCTTCATGACCCATAATTGGGTCCCAAGCCCAACTTTGGGAACCAAAGAGCAGTGGTTCCCAAACTTTTCAGCTTTTGACCCACAAAATAGTAGCAGAGACCTGTGCCCCCAACTGTTTTTGGATGATAAACATTTGTATCAGGTCAACTAAACATGGGCATAGTAATATTTTTATACCACATTTATCCATTTTAAATACACTAACCTCACTCCTTTTATTTATAACAACTAAGGCAAAAATGTAATTAATTCAGAAAATATTTTCAGGACCCCACCTTGAAGTTTTGGGACCCCACTTTGGGTCCCGACCCCAACTTTGGGAAACACTGATCTATGGTATCTTCAGTCACTATAAGTGTTAGAAATATATCAGTTTATGACAGGTTGATCACTCAGATAACTAAATGTTTCAGTCAGAAGACATGATTTAAAAAGTCACTGATGTTCCAACAAGCTGCAGGCATTTTATTCTGGATGTCAGATATGTGAACACTGGCTAACCTTCAGGAGATGAAAGTTAGATGTTAACACTGGCTAACCTTCAGGAGATGAAAGTTAGATGTTAACACTGGCTAACCTTCAGGAGATGAAATGTGTTCGAATATTGACACAACTTAAAATGAAGTAACAGCTGCAATGGTTTCCAAGTACCATCCATAATATACAAACTCGTCCTTGGTCTGAAAGGATGCATTCAGGACAACCGTGCCGATAAAATCATGGAGCACAAGTTTTTGGCTACTTCCTCTGCAGACTTGTTTCCAGAGGGAAAGCTTCCACCCACTTGGAGAAGTCAGTGGCTGTCAATAGGTACTGGAAGCCAGAAGATGTCTGGGAAGTGGGCCTGTCAGGTCGATTCCGACCAATTCCCACACACATGACACCTGTTGGTGATAGATTAAATGTTCATGGACAGAAATAGTTTAGGAGTAATAAACTATGGGATTTACAGTGGACATTTACCTTGATGCAATCCAGTGTCTTCTCTATTCTCAGTGGTGGTCCAACCCTTTGGCACTTGTCACGTTCAGACACCTGAAAATGTTAGTTTTTCGGTTTTATGAGATAAAAGACATTTCAGCTTAAATATGTTGCTAAGAATGTGACAACATACCCATTTTTCTATGTCTGCTGTCATGCCAGGCCAATAAAATCTGGAACACATGGAGTTGAGAGTTTTCACAATTCCAGTGTGTCCTCCCATTGGTGAAGCATGAAGTTCCTTGAAAAGGTTCCATATCTCCTCTCTTCATTTTATGGCCCTCCTGTGAAGCAAGGCTCCAAAGAACAGGTTCCCAGCTTTATTGAAAGAATTTACATTATTATATCATTATAGAAAACATTGTGTCTGTTTAAAATATAAAAACCTTACCATGAATGCTAAATTTTGAGGCAAACTTCCTGAGACTTTGCCTTTGCCCCCTTGTRAATTTTGATGGGTAGGAACCTTCAGAAAGAAGGTTAAAGATCTCCTCCCATTTTCTCTCCATATTTGATCTAAATGCCAATAAAAAAGCATTATAAATTACATAAGGGTTAGACATAAAGATTTTTTTTCAAGCTGTCCAGAAAACCTGTTCACAAAATCTGGTTGCCAAAAATTGTGGTTGTCCTTTACAAAAAAAAAAAAGTTCACTATATACAAATGTTCTTGGTCAAGAAGCTGATTGAGTAAAACTTCCTCATTCTCCTCCTCGTCCTCTTCTTTGTCATTAGACTTCACAAAGAGGCACACAGAGGCTCAGGGATTAAAGCAGCAAAAACAAATAAATAAATAAATAAACAAATAAATAAATAAATACTTTGAAAAGTTTTAAGCAGGCATCACCCTCCACCACCACCCAGTACCACGCCTTCGAGAGCTTCTTCCTGCACACAGGTCAAAGGTTTTCATGTAAAGTGGAGTATATGACCTTACTAAAAGTACACAGTTTACTGTTCTCTAATGAAGTGTGGAAGTTGTAACAAGAATTTCGCATGCTATAATTGCATTTTTAAGGATGAAGACATTCTGAAGGATGAGGGATGATTTAAATATTTTTTCTATAATTTACTTTTACAGTTGAGTAGCTCTGATATATTTATAAAAAAATATAACACCTGAGATTTTGGCACACTATTTTTTTAAATAAAACTGACCTCTAAAAATCATTGTTTAATTTAAAAGGGTTATATTTACAGGATTTCAGCTCATGTAGTAATTTAATATCATTTATTTTCATATTTACTGAATTACATTTATCATATCTACATACTTGTTGCTAAAACACCTTGAATTAAATAAAAAACTTAAAGTGAAACGAAGACACACGTCTTCTGTGTATGAGACACCGCATCTGCGGTCAGTCAGGTAACACGACCCGCCCTGCTCTACTCTGACTGTGGTTCTCTTGGTTGGTTGAAAAAAAATAGTTCAAATTTTGAATAGCTTCAATGACTGAAATAACGGTTTCGTCGACCCCTGAATTACACAGACAAGCATTTAAACAAGAAGTCAACGCATTACGTTTGAGGATTAAAGGTTTGAATTAGAAAGAAATCAACTTGGAAATTTAATTCTCGAACTGTCCTGATGCATCTCAGTAATCCAGGTAAAAAATCAAACGGAACAAAAAAAATTGTGTAGGTCCTCTGTATGGGTTCTTCTTTAATGAAACGTTTCGTCTCTCCTCCAAGAGACTTCTTCAGTCTGAGAGTTTCAGGCAAAATTCAGGCTTTTGAGTCCTGCCTCCAGGTGACTGATACTCACATCACATGGCTATCGTTCACACCTAATTAACACCTATTGTTAACAGGGGGTGGAGTGATACTGACCATGCAACCTTCAGGTGAAAATGAAGACCCCAAACCCAGACCCATCCCAGTGGTTATTCCGTATGTTGCAGGTGCTTTGGAGAAACCGAGACGTTTATTTTCTAAACATGTCCCAGTGGCTTTCAAACCCCAAAACACATTACAGCAATGGCTGGTTCAACCCAAAGATCCGGTGCCCCGGCACAAACAGAGCAATGTTGTATATGCTGTTAAGTGCCAGGAGGACTGCGACCAGTTATACATCGGGGAAACAAAGCAACCACTGTTCAAAAG